CCAGAAGTTCATGATAAATGCCTGTACACTATTGTTATGCGTTAGCCAATTATGTCTATTGATTCAAACATTGATTGTCGACTGTGATTCTACTGATATTGTGTCTACTTCTCAAAAGGTAACCGCTGGTCCAGGAGAATCGGAGACATTTCAGTTCATTCCATACGTGGCGTACTCTTCGAATGGTACTGTAGAAGGTCAACTAGTCTATGTCAATGAAGGCACAAAAAAGGATTTTAAGACCCTGAAAGCTTATAACATCTCCGTTGAAGGGAAGATTGTTATTTGTCGAAGGATATCTGGAAACGTAAGTTGAACACAAACATTGTAAACATTCATATTCTTTTACGACATCAAAAGCTACACAACAAACTTCACTTACTGTTTTACAGGTTTTGGAAGCAGCCAAACATGGAGCTATCGGCGCACTCTTTTATCCAGACCCTTCCACCTACAGCCAAGCTGGTCAATCAGATGAAGATRTGTATCCMAACACAGTATGGAGCTCAAGTGACTCCATCTACGAGAAACCAGTAAGATCAATGTTTGGTGATCCCTTGACGCCAGGTCTCCCGGCTCTGCCTGGCATGTACAGACGACCTTTAAATGAGACAAGCCTTCCCACAATTCCATCACAACCGATATCGTTTGAGGATGCGCAGAAACTGTTGAGCAGAATGAATGGTAAGAATCCTCAGTAGGAATGACTATAATTCAACAGATTTTCTTGGAGTAAATTATCTCATCTGATCCCTGATGATCCCGCGCGATATTCTCCATCCGAAAATCCGAACCTATATCTGTGATTCCCGATCCCGGTTCCAACAACAAAGTTTATGATGTCACATTTTTCTACAATTTTCATATTTCGATCATAGTTTTTGATCTTACAAACAATTTTTATATATTTATATCAGTTTATGATTTCACATTTTTATTTACTTTCAGGAAGCGAAGTACCAGAAATTTGGCGAGGAGCCCTTAATTTGACTTACAGGTTTGGTCCAGGATTCACKACATCCAACACGACAGTTCGCATCAAAGTCCACAACATAATGAAAGAGAYGAAAATTTATAACGTCATTGGAACTATTCGGGGGAGGGAGGAGCCAGATAGGATTGTCCTCATTGGTAACCATAGAGACGCCTGGTTGTTTGGTGCTGTTGACCCCTCTAGTGGTACTGCAACACTCATTGAGATGTCACGYGTTATTGGGAACTTACTGAAAACAGGTACACACAAAAGTATCTTTATATCAGTTTGATTTTTTTCCGCAGTCAGAATTATTCTACATACTGTATACCATCCATTATTCTACCTTTTTATTTATACTAATCCAGTGTAGCTTGAAAATAGCTAAAAGATTTGATGATTTTGATATTATTAGGTTGGAGGCCAAGAAGGACCATTATGTTTTGTAGTTGGGGAGCAGAAGAGTTTGGCCTGGTAGGTTCGGTGGAATGGGTGGAGCAGCACTCCAAGCTGCTTAACGACCGTGCTATTGCATATCTCAACACCGATGTTGCTGTTGGCGGGAATTTTGTCCTTGTTGTTCAGAGCTGCCCACTATTAGTAGATTTTATCTTCTCTTGGGCTAAGAAAGTGCGAGATCCTAATGCGCATGGCARCAAGACTTCTTTGTATGACATAATGACCGAAAGGATGCCACTATCAAAAACAAGAAAAGGTGAACCAACTGTGCTTTCATTCCGATACATGAGTGATTACTACCCGTTCTATATGAATGTAGGGGTTCCATCGGCTGACTTTAGTTACTTTTTTGGATACAAAAACCAATGGCAGCTTTACCCAGTCTACCACACGCAGCATGACACGTTCTACTGGGTGAAAAAGTTTATCGATCCGGAGTTTAAATTCCACGAAGCTATGGCTAAGTTTCAAGGGGGAATGCTTCTTGACCTGGCAGACCTTCCACTWCTACCATATGGTATACAGCGGCTGTCCGACTCGCTGAAGGATGCRGTAAAATCACCGGGATTTTTAGAGTTCAAAAAACTAAACCTTCACACTGATCATGTCATTRAAGCTGTGAACAAATTTGGAAATGCATCGAAGGAGTTCTTGGAGGCGAAGAATAAATTGACAGGAAAGGAAAGCGATTTAGTGAGAAGAATTTTCAACGATCAGATGGTCCAAGTAGAGAAGGCACTCCTRCGTRCGGACTTGTATTCTAGGGATCCTATAAATAGGCACGTCATAATTGGAAACATTTTCTTAGGTGTACATAGTGCTAAGGTAGATGGCAATTTGAAAGAAGCCAACAGACAGTTATCCGCTGTTGCAGAAGCTTTTTCTTCGGCTGCAGATGTTCTAAAACCTCTGAAGAGTTTGGGATTCAATATGGCACCCTCTGTGTTTATCCAAATTTGGGCAGCATTTGCTAGTCTGTTAATTTGTTTATTATAGTTTATTTTTTTACAAGCTTTTACGTTATGTTTATGTAATTATATAGGCTGAAATTGATTTGCAGTATTGATATTTTCAAATCCTCCAACGTGGAAGTAGGCTCAGTCTCCAGCCGTCGGGATTTCGTGCGCCCGCGATACTCTCTCCCCTGACGGCTGGGCGCATGGGGTTCGAAACGTGTCGCGCATGTCCGTGACGTTTTTGTGTAATTAGCATATTATGAATAACGGAAGTGAATTTTTCAGTGAACGGAAGTGAAATATCTGACAACAGCCGTATTAAAAGGTTTTGCTACAAG